GAAAAGAAAAAAGTTTTAGGTCTAAAAAGAAAAAGAATCAAAATATAGGGTCTTTTATGGAAATAACCCTCCACGTTTTGATTAAACCAGATGTCGATGGTGGTCTAAGGACGATTAGAGAGAGGAGAGACATACAAAATGATGTAGGTTGGGTTTGTAGCGGATTAGTGGCCTATTTTGATTTTAGAGTAAATTACACTAATGGTTCTTTCGCTTTACATTTTTTTTCTCATATAGTTCCTATGAAATTTTTTTTCCTGAGATGGTCCCTACGGAGCAAATATTGCACACAAAAGGTCCTTATGACCAACTCTGTTAATAGATTTTGTTAAGTAATTGTAAATGATGAAAATACCCTTTATGTTTTGCACACAAATGATCCTTATGACACACACACTCTCTCTCCTAGTTTCACCACCACACTCCGATCATAGCAACTGTGATTGAATCCGGTTCGATTACGAAATTCTCCATTTGTTGATAAAGATTACAGGAGAACAACTTGCCAAAAAAGCTTCCAAAAGCATCGATACTTAACTTGAAAACTAACAGTCGAACCCAATTTAAGATAAATTAGTTGCTCCCACTATGCAGTGCGAAGAACTTCGGCCGAGGGCTATTTTTCCCCATAATATTCTGTTGACAGAAGAATCTACTAGTACACAACTAACCAGTAGGCGAAGAGGCTTCCAACAACATCACTTGTATCCTTCGAGGAACTGGTTTTCAGTTCTGATCCCAAATTCAAATCGAGTACAACAGTTTGGATTCGAAACTGAAAGATGCAAAATTGGTTTTTCGCCGGCAGTGACAGTGACGGCGATAATTCACTTCCAAAGACGTTGTCGTCTTCCTCTTCGTCACTGCTAGCAGATTGGAATTCGTATGCTGCTATAAAAGGCCCCGACGTAGGCTCTAGTAGCCTCGTTGGTTTGTTTGATATTGAATCGGTTGTTACCTCTGCCAACGACAGTGTGACTGGCACCTCCAATGTGTAAGCCACTCGTCAATTTCTTCCTCGGTTTATTTTAGCAAACTAATTGAGTAATTGAGTTGCTGATTTGGGGATCCTTCCGTGTTTCTGTTCTCAAAAAGGGTTTGCATTCAAGTCTTTATGTAGGAAATGGATTAATTACAATGTATGGAAAATGTAACCGGTTACTGGAAGGACGCCAAGTGTTTGATGAAATGCCTAGTAGAGATATACTCTCCTTGAATGCTATGGTTGCTTCCTACGCCCAAAATCGGATGTTTGATGATGCATTGGAGATTTATAAGACAATGATGCAATGTTCTACCTTAAAACCTAATGCATGCACCATGGCTAGACTTTCCCCTGCTGTTACAACTTTTACTTCGTCTACGAACGTGATGTTTATGAAAGAAATGTTCATGAATCACTCTAGAGAGAGTTTAATTTCTTGGAATGTAATGATAGTTGTATATGTCAATAACTCGATGCCTAGAGATGCAGTTAATCTTTATCAACAAATGGAGATCTTCGTAATCGACCCGGATTCAATCACAGTTGCTATGATCGGAGTGTGGTGGTGGTGGTGAAATTAGGATAGTGTGTGTGTGTGTGCGCGCGCGTCATAAGGACCATTTGTGTGCAAAAAATAAAGGGTATTTTCGTTATTTACAATTACTTAACAGAATCTGTTAACAGAGTTAGTCATAAGGGCCTTTTGTGTGCAAGGTTTGCTCCGTAGGGACCATCCCAAGGAAAAAAGTTTCGTAGGGACCATATCAGAGAAAAATTGTAAAGCTAAAGGATCATTCGTGTAATTTACTCTTGATTTTAATAAACGGTATATTATAAATAGATTAAAAAAGAAATTATGATTGGTAAAATAGTCTTTTCATGTCTTGTAGGTACCGAACACACAACAAAATCATACTAAACTCTACGAATTGAAAATAAAAGTTATGGACCAAACGTGTAAATTACCCCAAACCACAGGGACCACTAATATAATTTACCATTTGTATTGTGATGATTATATATAACATTTGTTAGATATCAAATTATATTGTGATGATTATATATAACATTTGTTAGATATTAAATTTGATGATGTTTTTAGAAATTAGAACTATTAAAAAGTTCAAGTCATCTTTTGGATTATTGTAATCGGGTTTGGGTTTTCGATAATGAAAATTCCAATAGGCAACTTTAATGTTTTAATATCATTAATGGGATACCTGATAAGTGTGGGTATACCCACATACTCAATGAGTATTTTGCTAATCGGGTACCCCACTACAAAAAATATGTCATTTAGTGGCATACAAAAAGCGCCACTAAAAACCAAAAAAATATCACTAAAGGCTTCTTGGAGAATCAGTGTCACAAATACTAAATGCCGCTAGAAACGCTCCCACTAAAATCTTTTAGTGACACTTTTAGCTTTTGTCGCTACAGTTTTTTAGGCTTTTAGTGACACTTTTTCATTTGTCACTATAAAATAAAAGTTTTTTGTGGCACATATTTTGTGCCATTGAATGCTTCTTTTAGTGGCACTTTTTTATTAGCCACAATACAAAAAAAAAATAAAAAAAAATTGTCGCACATTTTACACTGGTAAATACTCATGAGATTTTATAATTTAAGCTACTAACATCTACATAATTTTTATCTAAAATCTAAAATAAAATAAATAATTAGATTTTAGCATGTAGAAAATAATAAGAATTCTATTGTTTTTCATCAATATTTTTAAACTTTTTGAATTATAATTAATCAAATACGTCTAAACGTTTAACCAAATACAGACTAAACATAAAGTAATATGAACAAAAGTAAAAGAAAAAAAAAATAAAGGAAAAACTCGAAACTTAATTGTAGATGAACTTCTTCCCGAATACTAACAATATCCTGTCCAAAAACAAACAAAGAAAATTCAAAATACAGTTAAATAAGACAATTTAGAAAATAATTAATATAGAATTAAGCACACATCTACTATGTCTATAATAACAAACAAAAGAAGAAAGCACATAAAACTGATTACCATCGTTATGATGCCTTTCAAAAGATGGTATTTGGTCGACTAATGAAATAAATTAAAAAAAACATAGGTCACCACTACTACTAGTTTAAAAAATTACCAAAATGTCGACTTTACTATATATACTCATATAATATGCCATTAGTCTCCAACTCTCCCATACCTTCTTCTACTCTTGTATGAATGAGCCAATAGAATGCATTTAAGAAAATACATTAGGTACACCAAGAATATTATTCATAAGTGCAAAAGTGGATATAGCGAATAAAATGGTCATTCTTGATGAAAAAGTTGCTCCGATTAGAATTATAATGGACTAATTTGCATGTATATGTTTTGCTCACCACATTGTATTCTTGTTAGTTATGTAGTTTTTAAATATTATAAGAACACTTAATTACACGCTTTGTCCCTTAATTTAGTTTGTTTTTCGGTTTTGGTCCCAAATTTTAGTAATTGATTGAAGTTTTTGTAACGCTTTTGGTCTCTCCTCCAAGGAAAATGACTATATTACCCTTTATTTTATTTTTTTTATAAATACATGTTATTTGTTTTAAATTTATATCAATGTTATATTGTACATTTAACAGGAAAGCGATATGAAAGGGCAAAGAGGAGATGATGATATTGTTATTTACTTAGAGCAGGAACCAAAACCGTTATGAAAACCCCAATAAAGGACCAAACTTGTTAAAAGGAAACTTTAGGGACCAAAAATGAAAATAAACTAAACTAAAAGACCAAAATTGTAATTTGCATAAAAAAAATAGTAATTTAGTGAAAACTACATACCTATAACTTCTAAGAACATGTTCACTAAGAAAGTTTCATAGTAGCATGCCATCAGTCATATAGAATAGCCAACCTAAAAGCATAAACCAAAAATGGCTTCAGAACACAACAGATCACTTAGGAAGATGTATTTTGTTGATAAAATCCCAAAAAAGAGTTTCAAATTATGCATTTGAAATATTGACAACATAATGTTAAAATAAAGCACATACCTGATGCCTAAGTTTGACATTCACCATCTCAATCACCATACACCCGAAGCTCCAAATGTCTATGGTAAATCATAATTGTATCTTCCATATTCGCATCTTTTCTCAAGACAGCTTGCAAAACCTACACAAAAGAGATGAAGATGACTCATCATCTTCATAATTATAAATAGGATTGGTAAATTTATAATTTCAAAAAAATACCTCTGGATCCATGCAATGTGGACTACCCTTTAAGGAAAGATCATTTGAATGTGGAGAAGTTTGTAAAGCCACAAATAGGATAACTATTAGAACACAAGAAAGAAAGTAGAACACTTTTTCCTTCCCTTTTTGAATTTTGATGAATATAATATTGATTTTTTGTTAAATCTAACGAACTTTAATAAATATTTTTACTATTTTCAACTCACATATTTTGCCAATTCAAAGTTTGCAAGCTTCACCATCCTGTATGCATCAACAAGCAAATTTGCTCCTTTAATATCCCTATATAATAGACATATATCATACTTGTATATTAATATAACTACCATTAATCCATTATAGTTCCAATTATCAAGAAATATATGTTACTTATGTGAAGAGTAAAGAGTAATAATCACATGTTAAATATTTTCTTGCTGTGCAAATAAACCAATCCTGAGAGAATATGACGTGTGAAATTTCTAACTACATATTCTGTAAAGAGTATAGAATTATGTCAATAAATATGTTTTTAAATATTGGATGGAGCCTAAATTAATGAAATTTAAAGAAACTTGTGATTTCAGAATCCAAATCCTATACAATGTTTTGATGTTCTAAAGTTCATAAAACTCTTATTTCCTGAGGTGAATAAAAGTAATAATTTTAAATAAGCTTTTCATACTACCTTACCTTCAATCATATTCAGTTTCACCCGCCTTCATGTGTAAATCAAAGCAAAGAAATAAATTATAATCTTGATTATGAAAAAATAATGATAAAAGCTTGAGGTTAAGAAGAAGTACAGTTCTAATTGGCGTATACATCCATATGATTTTGTGTCATCTGGGATAATGTCAACTTCTTTCGTTGCGCATAAACTTCCGGTCTCACATCAAGAATAAATTTAAATTTATAAAGCACAAAGCAGAAGATAAGAAAAAGGTATTTTGAGTTATGTTTGTGGTTATTGTAGATGACATACCGATTGATTGCTTCATATACACTACCATAAGTACCACATCTGAGGAGTTTCCCTTTCTGTCATTTTCCTTTTATCGATTTCCCATCTTATTTATCCAAACTTTGACGACTAGACACTTGTCTCGGAGGTGCAGGTGGCCAGGGAAGTGGATGAGCATCAGTGTTGTTGCTTTCTGTCCTTGCCATGGAAGTTTCCGGTGAAGATTTTTGTTAAGTAGATGGACTGATAGAGAGGGGATTTTACTATTCCAATAGACTCTGTAATGGCGTACTGTGCAGTTGAGATTGCCTTGTTGATGGTGGTGAAACTAAAGTTACCGAGGAAATACAAACGCAGAATCAAATATATCGACGGGGCAAAACCTTTTGGGGCTGAGTGTATGGCATGTGGAGGCGGCGGTAGGTGCAATCCTAGCCGGAATATCTAACCTGGCGTCACCATCATCTATTTAGTCGTTTATGCCTTCAGGATAACATTTACACCGATGATAAGTACAAGTTTTAGATGATATTGAGATTCCGAGACCGTTGGAATTCATCGGAATCCTATCAGATCTGCAACTACAGTTTCTAGATTCAATTTCACAATACGCAGAATCATTTCCTCCTTTATGATTCAAAATTTTCAGAAACTTACCGTCCATCTCCTCTGCTATAAGCTTAGGCCGAAAATCGGAATTCATCGTTAAGAAGTGGCAATGGTTGGGGTACGACAGACAAATACCGGTGTTGTTGCAACCTGTGTAGCGATTTTGACTTGGAATTGGGGAAAACGGCAACGATTTTGACCTATTACTAGCATCATCTTCCCCCGACGCACAGAAGTCCTCCATCGTCACGTGGCGGAGTTTACTCCGCCAGGTGAGCCTCTTATTCGACTGCCGAGAAAAAAGCCCTCCATTCATTAACCACTCACACGGCGACGAAGAAGATTAACACAGAGACGTCAGTAAAAATGCAAGTTCAACGATGTGATAACATTATTTTAACATATAATTCTGGGAGCATTTAACCTTTTTACCCTAACTTACTAGTTAAATGAAAGGAAGGAATACCAAAAACGAAAATCTAAATGACAAATTACCAGTGGAATAACAATTAGGCAAACAAAAATTAATAGCTTGAAGTGGTTTAGCTTTAGTGGCATTAAAAATTATCATGCCACTAATAAATATGACTTTTAGTGAGATAAAATATTAAGTCCCATTATATCCATTAATTTTTATAATGACATTTAGAGTGTGCCACTAAAAACAAAATATAATGGCAAAAAAAAGATATGCCACTAAAGTATTGTGCCACTAAGGTGCTGTTTGTTTTTTTTGAGACAAAATGTTTGCAGTCTGCGGACCACATCTGTAGACTTCTGCAGCAGAAGAGATGGACCAAATATCTGCGGTCTGAAAAAAGAAGACTGTTTGTTTTTTTAACATCTGCAAGCTATTAAAATAAACTAAAATCTAAATAAACTGATTTTTTTAAACTACAAAATGATTTTTTAATATATTTATGACTTTGTTATAAATAATAAACAAATCTAAATCAATTTTTAGTATTATTGTATAAAAAGTGAAAATAAAAATGGTACAAATTAACGTACATATTTGAAAAAAACCAACAATTTTGGTTGTAAAGTTATGTCTAAACATTGTAATTAGCAATCAAAGAATTTGATATATAAATGAATGGAAATAAATTTCGATTTTTTCAATTAAATCAATTAAAAACGTGTCATAAATATTTTTTCTAAGAAATTGACGATGCTTTATTAAATAATGTTTTATAAAATTTGGCACAAAAAATATAAGAATATATTATTATTTTTTGTCATATTTATATAAACAACTTCAACGACCATTATTGTAATAAACTTTTATTTATAAATTTGTCAAAAATATCATGTTTCTATCGTTGGACTTTTTTTTTTAGGTATTGTAACTTTTTTTTTCAAATTGTTTATCACTAATAAAGTTGGAATAAATATAAATTCAAAAAAAACTAAAATAAATAAATAAAGTATATGTGTTTTTTTAAGCTAGAAGATGCCTGAAGATGTTAGAAGACTCTGGTCCACATCTGCGCCAAGAAGAGAGCGCGCATACATTTTTAGGTCTGTAGTCTTCAAAAAGACAAATAGTCTACGAAGGCTAATGTTTGCGCGTGGTCTGCGCCGCGCAGACAGAAGAGGCCAGGAAGATCGGCGGATAAAAAACAAACACCACCTAAATGTCATGTAGTTTGTACCCTCGGTACAAGATCGAGTTTGGGATACAGTTTTATAATCAGTTATGAAACTATGATCACTAATACCCATATCATATTCGTCCCATTGTTATCCTTAATTTTATGATACTTATACTTTTGTTATATATATATATATATATATATATATATATATATATATATATAT